ATGGGTATGTATTTTGGTAATTTTTATGCTTTCTGAATGCCTCCAGGTAGAATGTGAGCAGAAAATGGGCTTCCCTTTTCACTATTCTTCCTGATGTAATTTAGGATTTAATTTTTGGCTTATTTCCTCTGTTGTCTGCTTGTCGCACTCCACAGTCCGTTCTGGACTTTTTTCTAGTTGGAAACAGTTCATGGCTGGCTGTGGCCGTTTGGTTTTAATTGGAAACTGTCTTTTTAAATTTCGGGGGTATCTGTGCGCATGTGTAGTAGAACCCTCCAAGGGTGGGGCTGGGGTGCCCACTAGCTCAAGCACCCCTATAGTCACCAGAATGGAGGATGCGCAGACAGCAAGGGACCAATGAACAGATACCAAAAGAAAAGAATGTCCACACCTTTATCTCAGCGGTTCTGCCAGGCGTCTGTGGCCGCTCCGATTCTTTCCCCACGTGGTCTCACCCAAGATGGTGGCTCCTGGAGCAGTCGAGCGTTCCGGACTAGAAAGCAATAGATTTCTTGTTTCTGCCACAAACCCCCAGCTGTGAGCCTTCCAACCTTCTAAGTATTCCTTTATATATGGTTCAGACTTCTGGGACCATCCCCTGAGCCTGCTTGGTCGGGTATTCTGTGTTGTTGGCGGAGCTCCTTTACTACACGTCCACCCGAACCGCCATCTTGTTTGTTTTCCTGCCGTCACTATTTCTTATCCCCATAAATACTCCACATTTATTTGTTTTCTTTTGTAGTCTCCAAAATATTCATTAAACATAGACAAGCAAATAAAATACACGAGGCATCTAAAAGTTTGTGGAAATTTTCCATTAGTTTTTAATTCCTTTTTCCATAAACTTTTTGAAGCTCCCTCGTATATAGTCATTTTTCCCTTCCCTTTTTTTTCTTTTTTCATGGAAGTAAACTATACTTTTTTGCACCATATTTGTTTCTTCTTTTTAACTTAACAATAGTTTTAGAAAATCTTTCAATTTCAGCATGTAAGCTTCTTCATTGCTTTTTAAAGCTATATTTCTCCTGTATTGATATGACATAATTTGAATTATTCAGTCTTTTGCTGCTTCAAATAATGTATACACGTGCTCTCATGTGATTTTGCATGTGTGTGTGTATATTTGCTAATTAGGGGTAGAGTGGAATTGCAGGGTGAAAAGGTATATGGTGTACAATATTGATACATGTTACTAAACTGCCCTCCTGTGGTTGAGCCAGTTCACATTCCCACCTGCATTGTTTCAAAGGACAGCTTTTCCTTTAAGAAGCCAACATAGTGGTGTCCACCTTTTGGATTTTTGTCAATATGATATAGTTCTTTACAGTTTAAAATTTTTATTTCCTATTTGATCATTTTTAACTGTTCTTGTACTGTATGTACTAACAGCATGATTGAATCTCATTGCAGCTATCATACCCTAGTCAATGAAAGAGTCTGTCAAAATCAGTGGCTCTCATTTTTCCTAATTTCATTTCTAGATTCAATATTAACACAGTCACAGTGCCAGCAGGCTTTTTTGAAGGCATAGATAAGCTGACTCTAAAATTTACACGGAGATGGCAAAGGACCTAGAATAGACAAAACAACCTTTAAAAAGAAAGAATGAAGATGGAGGTAAATGTAAAACTCAAAGTTTCACCAAATTTGATAGAAAACAGAAGATACTATTTTGCAACCTTAGGATAAACATTTCTTGAACAAAATATAAAATGCACTAACAATAAAAGCAAAAAGTGATGACTTGGTCAAAATTAATTTTGTTCACCAAAAGATGTAATTAAGAAAATGATTACATAAACCCAGATTGGAAAAAGATATTCACACTATGTCTGGCAAAGAACTGATATGAGAAAATGTACCAGACTTCTGCAAATCAACAATAAGATGAACAATGCAATTTTAAAATAAGCAAAAATAATTCATTTTTAAGGAGCAAAATATTTGATATGCTCATTTGTACAGTTGTTGTTGTTAAGTGTCATCAAGTCAATTCCAACTCATAGCAACCTTGTATAGGGTTTCCAAGAAGTGACTAGTGAGTTTGAACTGCTGACCCTGCCGCTCAAACCAATCTTGCAGTCCCATGCTTTATTCCACAGTAACACACTAGGACTAACATTTGTACATGGGAATATACTGGAAGAAGCCAAAAACATATGAAAAGTTACTCAGTATCTTTATCATCAAAGAAATGCAAATTAAAACCACAGTGAGCTATCATTTCCACCTAGGAAAATGATCAACTGAAAAAACAAGAAACTAACAAATGTTGGCAAGGATGTAAAAATACCTGGAACATTCATATATTTCTGGTTGTTGTTGTTGAGTGCCGTCAAGTCAATTCTGACCCATAGTGACCCTATATAGGGTTTCCAGGAGCACTGGTGAGCTTGAACCGCTGACTTTGCAGTTCAAACCGCTTTGCAGTCTGGCGCATTAATCCATAGCGCCACACCAGGACTCCTATACTGCTGGTGGGCATGTGAAATAATAAAACTACTTTGGAGAATTGTTTCCTATAAATTCAAGCATGCTTTTATCCCACAACCTAGCAATTTCCACTAAAGTCCATACTGTCCATTTAAATGAAACCCAAGAACAGAAAAAGCTGATTCATGGTGATAGAACTTAGAAAGTGCTGCTTGATTAGGGGAAGAAATGGATCAGAATGAAATGTGAGGGAACTTTGACATGATGGAGATATTCTATCTATTGTTTTGGGTGTGGTTTCCAAGATCTATGCAACTGTCAAAACTCAACAGAACACCTACTATTCAGTCATTTATTCATATTGTATGCTAATCACAGCTTATACTTTAAATAATTAAAAGACACCGACCAAGCTAGCTTTCACATTTGGGTGATTCCCAACCATGCACTCCAAACTGCAGAGAGTAGGGTCTACGCTCAGGGTGGATGAGGGTGGGAGTTGGCATCTGACTTGTCTGCCATTTTTCCAGAAGTTCTTTTTTTAAATTTTTTAGTGTGAATTGAGTGAAGGTTTATATTGCAGTTAACAATTTTACATTCAACAAATCATATGCTTTGTTTCATTTCAATGATTGCAGTCCCCTCCATAAACATCAGTTATCCCACTTCCTCTCTATAATTCTTGTATCCATTCAACCGTCTTTCCCAATCTAAGTTTTATCCTTAGGTAAATGCTGCCATTTTGATCTTGAATGGTTGACCATTCCATGGTGTGCATACCTCACTAGTGTTATTCTGCCCCCCCACCCGCCATATACCTAGCTACTGCTTGGCTGGAAATTGAGACACAAAGGTGAATTCAGTTTCAGAACTGAAGGGTGACCTCAGGTTATTTTAGGAATGGTCCCACCTAATCAGTTGGCAGACCTTTCCCTGGCTCTAAGATTCCAGAATTTTATCCCATCTTGGGAAAATAGGAAGAACCTTAGTGGTGCAGTGCTTGAAACACTAGACTGCAAATCAAAAGGTCAGCAGTTTCAACTCAGCAGCTACTCCAGAGGAGAAAGATGTTACAGTCTGCATCCATAAAGATTTACAGAGCTGAAAACCCTGTATGAGTTGGAATCGACTCAGGGGTTTATCTTGAGGACCAGCTGCTGTTGCTCCTGCTATAGCTCCTGCCTCTACTCCTCCTTTTGCCCCATTGAACTTTAGCCACAGTTCACAAAGTTTGATATACTTTCAATGTCCAATATTTTCTAATTTGTTATTCTTTCTTTGACCCAAGCGTTACTTCGTGTTGTTAAGTGCTGTAGAGTGGGTTCTGACCAATAGCAGCCCTGTATTCTGAGGAGCAGCTATTGAGCTTGAACCGCTGTCCTTGTGGATCAAACAATTTTGTAGTCTAGCGTATTAACCCACAGCACCACACCAGGACTCCCAAGTACTAATATCACAGAATTAAGATATTTTTCGATAACTCCTTGGTACTGATTTCTAACCTAATTCGGTTATAGTCAGAGAATATACATTTTGACTCTTACTGGGATTTGGCTGTTTGTTTGGGGTTTTGTTGTCCTCTATCTGCCACATGTGTTTGAAAAGATATTTTTGTACTTGATAGGTGCTGTTCTTGTTAAGTGCCATCAAGTCAGTTCCAACTTATGGCTACTTTGTATAGGTTTTCCAAGGAGCATCTGGTGGTTTTGAACCACCAACCTTGTGGTTAGCAATCATGTGCTTACCCTACAGTTCTATACCAGGACTCTTTTATGAGTTAGTCAAGTGTTTCATTTCATTTTAATTCCTCACACTGGGCATGGAGTCCTGGTGTAGGGCTGTAGGATAAGCACTGGACTGTTAACCACAAGAACAGCAGTTCAAACCCACCAGCTGTTCCTTGGAAACCCTGTACAGGGTCACTGATTCGTAACAACAGTGACTTTCTGGTGTGGCCTGTAGAATCAGCACTGGATTGTTAACTGCAAGGTCAGTCTTTCAAACCCACCAGCCTCTTTAGAAACCCTGAACAGGGTTGATATGAGTCAGAACTAACTCAACAGCACTTAACAACAACTTTCTAACTATACACATTTGTATTATTTTTTAGTGATTGCTCTAGGGATTATGTATCCTTAAGTTATCATAGTTTACTTAGACTTAAGATTGCAAGATTCTACATAAAATCTTAAGAATCTTAAAATAGTTTCTTTTCATTTATACCCCATCCATTCATTATGCTGTTATAACTGTTATAACTCTGTTATAACTCTCACAGTACAGTGTTATATGTTTGCATTCATTTTTAAAATTAAGTTATAAGAAGAAGGAAAAAATAGTATTCTATATTTGTCCACTGCCTTTCATTTTCACTGCCTTTCATTCATTCTTGCAGATTGGGGTTTCAGTCTGGAATCATATCCCTTTGGCCTGGAGAATATGCTTTAATAATATAGTGTAGGCCTAAAGCAAAACCACCAAAACCCGTCCCATCGAGTTGATTCCCAGTCTTAAGGACCCTAAAGGACAGGGGGAAGCTACTTCATAGGGTTTCCAAGGCTGTAGCTCTTTATAAAAGCAGACAGCTTTCTCCCTCTGAGCAGCGGCTGGTGGGTTTAAATCACAGACCTTTCAGTTAGCTGCTGTGTACTTTAACTGCTGATCCATCAGGCTTCTCCCTAATGTAGGCCTACAGATGACACAGTCTCTATCTTTATTGGAAAAGATTTTGATGGGTATTTTTTGGTATAGAATTTTTGATTCGTTGTTATTGTTAGTGCCATCAAGTCAGTTCTGACCCACAGTGACCCTGTATAGGTTTTCCAAGGAGCAGTTGGTGAGCTTGAGTCGTCTACCTTGCAGTTCCAACAGACTTTCTGGTGCAGCACATTAACCCACAGTGCCTAATTTTGTTTTGTTTTAAACTTTTTATTGTGAATTGAGTGAAGAGTTACAGAACAGATCATCACAGTCCCACATTCAACAAGTCACAGACTTTGTGTCATTACAATGATTGCAATCCCTTCGGTGTACCATCAGTTAACAGCATCTACCTCTGTTCACTTTAGCTCTGACATTCCTCCCTGTGTCTTCCTCTACTTTCATCTTTCCTCAGTTGGCAGTAGTTTCTGTTGTATTTTTCTTACGCACTTAAATTGTATTCTGTAATTTATTATTTCTGATGAGAAATTAGCTATCTTGTTATTGTTGTTCCCATGTATATAATGTGTCATTTTTCTTCTTGCTTTTTCCTAAAATTTCTTTTTTTAATTTTTAGAAATTTGAATATGGTGTGGTTTTCTTTTTATTTATCTGCTTAGAGTTCTTATATGTCAATTAATGTTTTACTGTTGTTTTCCAGATTTGGGAAATGTTTGGCCACTGTTTATTAAAAAATTGTTTTGTTCTTCCCCTTTCTGATGTTCTTCTCCTAACTAAATAATGGAACATAACTGGGATTGGTTTCAATTACATATCTGTTGGTTTAAAAACCTAACAATTTAATTGGATTAATGGCCTATTCTTGTGAACTTGCATGAATAAAATCTTAGAATATAAAAAGTTGATACCCTTTTATGTTACCCATGTAGGAAATGAAACATTTGAAGCTTATGAGCCGCAAAAGCTCTTCTAACCATTCTGGTTAGCTGCTTCATGAAGAATATGGAAAGATTCCATAGGATTTAAAGTAGAAAATGAGTATTGTAAGAGATACTGCTTTGGCAGTAATGCTACTTACAGGTCTTTCTCGTTTTCCTAGTTAATCGAAACTCTGATCTTAAATGCAATAGGGTTAGACATGAGGAAATAGTCTATTCTCCACCACAGGGAATAAAAGGCTAGTTATGCTGTGAATTGCATCACATGATTGACTGCCTAAGGAGACACTTAGAAGTAGTGGAACCTAGCTACAGCCACGTCGCCCTGGGTGAATGGAGCCTGATGTAGCCCAACTGCTTCTCTAGTGATCGCTAGCTACCTTGTCCCTTTTGTTTGCCCTCAGATTAAAAAGAATCCAGATTAGACATTACATAAATTCTGTTTTAACTTTGAGTTTTCTATAAATCTGTCAGAAGAAGGTTTTTTTGTTGTTGTTGTCATTCTTTTTAATTTAAATGTAATCCCTTGCATTAGATGGATTTTAACCTATTTAAATCATAGACTTAATTCTTTATGTGTGTTTTTTGTTATTTGGTTTTGATTAAGGTTGCAATTGTGGCTCAGGACTTGGCAGCGTTCCATACTGCTTCATCAGAGATAGGACACCAGCAACACAGCCATCACTTAGTAACCACAGAAACCAGACCTCTGACCTTAGTGGCAACATCCAATGGCACCCAGATTGCAGTACAGGTGAGTACAAGGACAGTATCCTCAGTCGGCTACACTGTTACTCATAGTTGTCAGCCTGGTACACCATGCTTTATGTCTAACCATTACAAGAGCAGAACACAGAATAATTTATGTCACCTCGCATGCTTTAAGGAGTCCTGGTATGGCACTGTGGGTTAATGTGCTGGACTGCAAAGTCGGTTTGAATGGCAAGGTCAGTGGTTGAGGCTCACCAGCCACACCTCAGCTACCCTTTACATGGTTGCTATGGGTTGGAACCGACTTGATGGCACTTAACAACAGCAACAACAAAAGCATGTTTTAAGGAAATTAGTGTATGTGTTTTTGAGATTGGACTCAAAGAAACCAGGACCCTAAGAGGCCAACACTTTTTCCTCTACTGTTTTTGTATGTGTGTTAGGAGTCCTGATGTGATGCTATAGGATAAGCACTGGACTGCTAACCACAAAGTCAGCAGTTTAAGCCCATCAGTGACTCCTCAGAAACCCTATACAGGATCGCTGTGAGTTGGAACCGACTCAACAGCAGTTAGCAGCAACAACAGTAAGAATTTATAGCAAGAACTAAAAGCTTTAAGTATACATCCCTGCATGTACCAGTCAGCCATATATACTCTCAAAGGTACAATGATGGCAGGAATCTATAAAGCACTTAAGAGGCAGCCTCTTGGAAATAAACCTAGTGTAAATTAGACCCTCAAGTAGTCCTTTGAGAATCTCTGCACAGCCCAGTTGTAGACTAGGGGATATCAAGACAGTAGAAGAGAGCCATTCTCTGGAACGAGTCAGTTATTCCAGCAGAAAATCTTAAAAGAAAGGGAAAGTTAGAATACACTCAAGAAATTACCAGCCTTTGGGTTTATTTCATTTACAGGTATAGAAGGTAAAGGCTCAGGAAGCACTCCAGATGTCTGTTTCCATTGACCAACTTGAGTATCATATGTTACTTGCACGTGTGAAAAGGTTATCAAAATCTTAAATAAAGAAACTGCATTATCTTCCTCGGCAGGAATGTTTTTGTACTTTTAATGATAAGATCATCAGTAGTATCTTAACAAACCCAAATGTGTTCAGAATTTACAGAGAGATCACCAGAAATGTAGAGACTATTTCTTTGACACTCTTCTCCCTGTGTCTCATTTGTGTTTCTGTACCTATTTCAGCTTGGAGAACAGCCATCTTTAGAAGAAGCCATCAGAATAGCATCCAGGATCCAACAAGGAGAAACGCCGGGATTGGATGATTGATCCTCTGAACAATAAAACAATAAAGCAGGAGGAGCCTTTCAGCTTCTGGCAGCAGAGATCCATGAAACCCGGGCCCAGGAAAATGAGAAGTTTACCATGCCCTGATACCCTGTACACATTTTTATGCAAAAGTGGAGATCATTTTATTCTTGACACTTTTGTGTATATAACCCTTTGGATAGATTCCCTAACAGGTTCATTGTGTACAGGAAGTTATGAAATTAGGGCACTACAGTAAATTTTCATGTTACTCTTCTGTCAAACCACAAACTCATGGAATCTACATGCAAGACCAGTGAAGTCCTATGGAGTCTTATGATGGATTTTAACTTACTGTGAAAAAATGTTAAAGGTTCTATATGTCAAACAATCACAATTCCAAAAGCCATCATGGATAATAAAGAATGTAAAGCCCTTCAAATATTTCCCCCAGTTAGTAGAGTATCTGCAATTTTTATTCCACTGTATACTGGTCCATTTTTATTTGTATCTCATGGTTTGAAGACTATGCACTTATAGTTTCCCATTCCTGTTAAATATCAACTTTTCAAGCTGAAATGCTAATTATATTAGCATTACCTTGGATTATGTATAAAAATTACAAGGTTTGGTTATTTAAAATTAAACAGTTAAATCCAGTGCTTTGGTTCTGTTAAGATTTTATGTAGTGCTCAGTTTTCCTTGTTACTGTTTTTAAAATAATGAACTACAAAGTTTGACCACAGGCTGGTGCCCGGGATAACAGTGCTGTAATTAGAAATGGCTTTACTCTTAAACTAGATTAGTGGATTGGTGTAAATTATTTATTTTTGCCTATGTACTTTTGTTTTAAAGCTTATTTACCCTAAAGTTTATTATTAATTTTGAATACAGCAATTTTTAAAACATTACCTTTATATTTGTTTTATTCCTTTGATGTGGGTTGGGAGACAGGGGAAGTAAGTGGTGCAGAAATACCACAAATATTACCTAACATACTTACATTGAGAGTGTATTATGTATCAAACACATAGCACTTGTATATACATTTTTATGTGGTCCTCAGAACAATTTTGTGAGATATATAGGATTTTCTAGCTCCATTGAGGACATTGAGAGTTCAAAGAAATTCACCATCTTACCCAGACCTTTCAGGCCCAGTGTGTTTCTCCATAGCTACCTATTCAAATGATGATTTGTGGCAGAGATGAGCTTTGATGATTTCTGACTGTCACTTGAAAAACTGTCCACTAAAATCCAAAGTTCAGTGTAGGTACCACCAAGATGATGTAAATACATTTAAGAAAAGGATGACAGGCTCTCTGGCAACAGTTAACCCTGCCCTATTGTTCACCGCACTTTGTTTACTTAACCAGGTGAAATCGGGCTGTTTTTCTTTCAAGGTTTACAGAAAACAGGGCTAGGTGCTATCTTATTTAATATTCGTTAATACTACCTTTGATCAAGTTCTTTTAAGTCTTGCTAAAAAGGCACATGATTTAGTCATTTGATAACGGAAACACTTCAAGGTTGGTCAGGGATTGGTTGCTTTCCCTTCAAAGTCCTTCATAGATACCTAACATCATAAAGGACCTGAGTCACCCACAGTTCCAGTCTTCCTTCTTGACAGAGACATTTAAACAGGAGCAGAACTCCTAGTAGAGACCTACTGAGGCTGAGACTTAGAAGGGGGCTAGGAAGGTGGGGTAGAACAAAAGCAGACTCTGCTCTAGGTCCAGGTCTGGGCTGCTGACAGGGAGATCCTCCCACAGGCCCGTCCAGGCCTGCTGTGCCTCCCAGGACCATAGTCCAGCTTCTCCCTTCACTCTTGACATTAGGCTTTGCTCATTATTCCAGGTGTCTCTGGCTTGCCTCCCCTACTTTGCAGACTTGAAGGTGTTCTGCCCTGGTGGGCCTGATTATCCCTTAGCACAAAAGGAAATACCATCATACTGGCACCCAGAGAATAAACAGGGGAGTACTGCTGGTTATCTCCTACCTTCTGGGAATGAGACTTCAGGAGCTAAGGAGGTGGTGCAGCCAATATGCTGTGAGAGGCCGTAACAACCCTGGGCTAGAAAAACTGTGGGATTTCTCGGTGCACGTTGTGGGAAGGAACCTTCCAAAGCTGCAAAATCCAAAATGGCACTTGATAAAACAGGAGTGCACTTCAGCAAAGGGAGCCAGCTGAAGCAGTGCTCAAAGTAAACCCTTCAAGCCAAGTAGAATATCCTCCATTCTATCCCAGATACAACCTAGTGCCACTACATAGAAAGCAGGCATTGTCTACAATCTGTCATCATTATAAGAATTTAGCAAATGAGAAGGATATGACTTCCTTAATCCTCTACAGCTGCCAGATATCCTACCCCCGACCCCTAGCCATCAGGGGCAAACTTTGGAATATTTCACATCTAAGCAAGTGAAAAGAAACCATACACTCAGCACTGAGATTGGCTTTCATTACCAACCGAAATCCCCAAACCGACTGCCATCAACTTGATTCTGACTCATTGCAACCCTAAAGAACAGAGCCGAACATAGGGTTTCTGAGGCTGTAATCTTTATAGAAGCAGACTGCCATATCTTTCTCCTACAGAGTGGCTGGTAGGCTCGAATAATCAACTGGCTAGCAGCTGAGCACTTAAACCACTATACCACCAGGGCTCCTTTTCAACCCCAGGAACTTGGTAGGTGCCCTCAAGTCAGTTCTGACTCATAGTGACACTATGTTACACTGAAACAAAACACTGTGTGCTCCTGATACATCCATCCTCTGTCAATCCATCTCCCTCTTTTTCTCTGACCCTACACTTTACTACAAATGATGTCCTTTTTCAGGGACTGTCCTTCCTGACAACATGTCCAATGTACAAGAGACAAAATCTGACATTGTCACTTCTAAGGAGCAGTCCAGCTATACATTTTCCAACACAATTGTTAGTTCTTCTGGCAGTCCATGGTACTTTTAATATTCTTTGCTAACATAATTCAAATGCACCAATTCTTCTCTGGTCTTCCTTATTCTTTGTTCAACATTGACATGCATATGAGGCAGTTGAAATTACCCTGACTTGGGTAAGGTGCATCTTAGTCCTAAAACTGGCATCTTTGCTCATGGTAATCAAAAATGAGCAGGAATGGCAATATTAATTCCTGACAAAATAGACTTTGAGGCAAAAGCCAGAGTCCTGGTGTGGTGCTGCAGTCTAATGAGGAGGACTGCAAAGTCAGTTTAAACTATAAGGTCAACAGTTCAAGATCACCAGCTGCTCCTAGGAAATTATATCCAGTGTTGTTATGGGTCAGAACCGACTCAAATGCCCCTAAACAACAACAAAAATAGCAAGGCAAAAATCAGCAAATGAGACAAATAAGGACATTATATCATAATTAAACGGCTACTTGAACAAGAGGACATAAGCATAATAAATATCTACATTCCTGATGAAAGAACCTCAAAATACATAAATAAAACTAACAGAATTGAAGAAACAAACAACTCTATAGTAATAGTGGAATATAGGACAGAACAACTAGAAGGAAACTCAATGAAGACGCAGAAGAACTAAAAACACAATCAACCAACTTGACCTTAAAGATTTATACATATAGCATTCAACCCAATAACAGCACAATATACATTCTTTTTCAGTGCTATTCCAGAATAGACTAGATGTTAGGCCACAAAACAAACCTCAATAGACATTAAAATACTACAAAGCATCTTCTTAGATCACAATGCTACAAAATTAGAAATCAACAATAGGAAGATCAAGGAGACAAACAAATACATGGAAATTTGAACAACACCCTACTTAAAAGCTACTGGGTAAAGAACAAGCAAGTTGTTTGCCAAGGACCCATCAAGGTAAGCTATCAAGTCCCTTCAGGACAAACCCCCCTCTAAGACTGAAACTAAAAAGGAACACATGGTAAGTAGAAGTGGGGGAAACACAGCAATGAAGATATGGACTGAGTTCAACCACATTACATAGACTCCTATCGAACTGGAGATGAGAGAGAGAAGGGGGAGGGCTGGTTGGTTTAAAGTATGGTGAGACCTGGAAACTCCTGAGCCATGGATAAGGACATAGCCACAGAGGGATAGAGTTGAGAGTAAAGTGTCCAGCTGATATGAAGTGAGGGGAGATGCACAAGAACACCTAAACTTGTAGATAGTACCCATTTGACGTAGTTCCGATGGCTTAACGATCAGAACTCAACTAGAGGAAGATAAAAAATCTTTAATAAAGGAAACAGGTGTAAATTGTTACAATTTGAGGAATTTGACCTATACTTATGGATGTAGTAGCTCAAAATACCAACTAAGAGGGAAGGACCTTCACCTCAAGGATCAATCCTATCCCCTCTGTACACAGGGTTGATAGGGATGGGCAACTTAGACATTGGCTACCTAAAATGGGGGGTGGCACTAAAGGCACGAAATGACTGGCTTACAAGTGTTCAAGAGGGAGTTTAGCTTCAGAGTGTGCAGGGGAAAGTAGAATCCCCACTGAATAGTGTTCATCTAGTCTAGACAGGTCTGGTGAAAGGAGATGGAGATAAGACTCTTATGATTCAATAGTGAGTAATTGTTATCATGACTAATTGTGTCACAACAGTAAAGGTAGAAGTTTTATAACAAAAAGGGGCAAGTAGTTAATCTTACAGTCCAGGAACAGAGGGCCTTAGAACCATCAAGGGAGAAGAGCTCAAGCAGAATGTGGTACCTTATCCAGAAAAGCAGTGACATCAGGGAGGGATGCAGAGATAATGACATGGAGAGATAGAGCAGCTAAGGACTCCAGACTCACGGAAAGAGAAAGGCTATGTGTTGGTGGCCAGGAGGCAGGCTTGCAGAATGTGCTCTTTGGTTGTTTAAATGATTATGTATTTCTGAGTGTTTTTGTGTACATTGAAAAAACAAACAAAAAACAGAGGGAATAGAAGCAAATACTGTTGAATGATGATGTATGGAGGGGATTGTAATCATTGCAATGAAATGAATTATGATATGCTGAGATTAAAACCAATGTTCTGCCATGTAAATTATCATTCAATTCACAATTTAAAAAATGCTACTGGGTAATAGATCAAACAAAAATTAAAAAAAAAAAAAAAGATTCTTTGAATCAAACAAGAATGAAAACACAACTTACTAAAACATTTGGGACACCGCAAAAGCCGTGCTCAAAAGGCAATTTATAGCAATAAATGAACACATCCAAGAAGAACCAAATCAACTTGCCTTAATACATCTCCAGCAATTAGATAAAGACCAGCAAAGTAAACTTACTAATACCAGAAAAAAATAAATAATAAAGATTAGAGCCAAAATAAATGAAACAGAAAACAGACAAAAAAAAAAAACAATAGAATCAATGAGACAAGAAGTTTGTTCTTTGAAAGGATTAATAAAATCAACAAACCACTGACAAATCTAACAAAGGAGAAGATACAAATAACACAAATAAGAAACAATATGGGTGACATAACAACAGAACAAATGGAAATTAAAAAGGGTAATAACAGAATTAATAATATTAAGAATTATACCGTAACAATTTAGAAAATCTAGAAGAAATGGACACATTTCTAGAAACACATACATCTACCTAAACTGCCACAGATTGAAGTAGAAAACTTGAACTAGTATATAACAAAAGAAGAAATCCATGTTTGTACTAACCTAACTCACGTCATGGTTGCCCTGTTCCTCACCCCAGCCTCTGTGGAATTTTTATAGCTTTCTGGTTGCTCAAGGATAGGTATATAGGCATATAGACAGTTCTGCCTGGAGGGTGGTCAGGACATCCAAGAAGGTTGCTTGTTTGTCACAAATTCTACTCTTACTCTTTTATCTGATTGTTGTCGTCAATATTTACATCTGTGATTATCTTGTG